TTAGCTATTTAGCGACCTTGTATATTTTTATTATTTATTAACTTATCTAATATAAATCAACTTATTATATCTTTAGATTTAACGTGTTCTTCTTCAGTTAACAGTGTCAACACTTAAAGTAAATTTAATGAGCATGCGTCAATATAGTTAGTAAACGCATGCGCATTCGAATGAGTACTTCCAAGGAATTTCTAAGAATCCCAAAAAATAATTCTAAATAATTCTAAATTTCCACATAATTCCAACATGTACACCATAATGCGACAGCGGTTTACCCGTCATAAATCGTAATTATGATTGATGTCAACAAATTGCTTTCACTGGGCAAGTAATGGAAGTATGACATTAGCCTGAAAGAGATTATTTAACGATGTTACATGTAGATGTGAAAGCCTCGTTCAATAAAATGGATTTTTTTTGTTGGAGTGTCTATTCTTGTTACACTTTTCTTGTCTTTTTCACATACTTAACCCTCGATCCTCTTGGAGAAAAGCGAGTGTGTATTTATGGATGTCCCTTTCGTTTCTCTCTACATGTTTATCCTCGGAGTAGTCAGAATCTGTTCCAATAAAAGGTGATTTAGTGGTTCTAATCTCGGCTATTTGTCGAGGGGAAATGTTGATTACGTTGTCACCTTTTAGAATCCAATTAAACTGTTGTAATATATTTAGGTTGGTGTGGGGACTAGAGTAAACAATGTCGACGCGATCGCCTTTATGGAATATCATTATTGTAAATTGTCACACCTAATCCTGATATTCTTGGAGCGGTGTTATCGACAGAGCCATTTGTGGCGTCATTATCGCAAAGACGCCCTCTACGCGTCCGACCGACAAGATATACGTCTTCGAACGAGCTTTCAATTATGTTTTATGAGCGTTTTCGATGATTCCTTTCTCTTATTGCCGCAGGAACGTATGTTCTTCGACGCCAAATATATTTACACACACTCGTGACGTTATTTATTTGAGTCGAGTGCCACCCAACGACACAACAATCGGAAAAGAGTTAAATCGTAAGCTAGGCTTACCGAAAATCCTGTAAATCAGTTGCTCAATAGTTCCCCTAGTTCAATTTGGTCCGAAACTTGATTCCAGGGTCCTAAACTTGAGAAAAACTTTCTAAATTAAATTCCGGACAAGTTTCCTGACCCGAACATGTGTATTTCAGAGGCAGACCTGCCGATTCTTGTCTCGACTTCAATTAGGAAGATTCGTATTATTGCATGGACTCACTCTTCACCATCCCCAAACCGTAACTTTGCTAAAAAACATCACTACTTGCTGTTTAATGGAAGCTTTCTGATTAGTTTCCAAAAGAAAATACATATCCAAATTTACAGATTTACTCGTATACTTGGAGATCTTTTTTTTTGTCTTAGAAAAATCTAATTATAAAAGCAGCATTAAAAAAACATACAAAAATTGTATTTTAAAAAATATTACAGAATTTCCAAGTATAAATAAATTTTGTTGTTTTAGAACAAA